TGGCATTCTTCAGGGAAATCATAACTTTTCATGGAGACGCTCGGCGCAAACTTTGCACTGTTAGAAAGAGCTGATGAAAGAACCTACAGTACTGACTGCTCCGATTTTTGTTGCAAGTCTCCGATTTTTTATAACCCTACACAGAAAATTAAAATTTTTACCATTTTTCTTCTATCGCTCCTATCTATGCAACAGATGACCATTACTAAGCAGCTGAGATGTCATTATAAAGAGCATGGCTTACCGTTCACATAAAAGTGAAAGCAGTCAAATCGGTTGGAAAAATCAGAAGTTATGAATTTTGAAATTCGTGTGCAAAAACTTTCTGGACGACCTAATAAGAGCGAGGTGGAGCAAGTTAATAGTAAAAAATGTGCTGTGGATTGACATCGTTATCAGCACTAACGGGAACGTGAGCGAACGCGTCTATTTGAGCGTGCTTATCGTTGTTATATGTTTATGTTTTTTTTGGTAAAAAATGCGCTTTTGATTGACAGTTATGCCATCATTGTTAGCACACACTCAAAAAACTATGGGAGATTGGTGAATTTCCACACCTTCACACAAAACCCGCCCATTTCTGGAATCTATACTCTGTAAACCTAGTGCTGAAGAAGGTCACTTTCGTGAAAACGCTCTAGACTCACCTTATCTAATTTGTAGAGAATGGTTGGTTTCAATGAATTAAAAACTCTAAGACATTCAGAAGAATAACATGTTATTAAAATATTCCTCAATGTTTTGGAAAGGTTGGCAGTTTGAAGAGGAAACGGCAGGCAGAATACTTTACAAAATCGCAGATGACTCGCACGTGTTCCAGTTCAACAGCGAGGCAGAAGGAGAATCTTACGCCGACGAAAATGTTGTCGACATTGATACAGAGTTTGCAATTGAGCGAAACTCTCTGATTTCCTGCATAAGGAATCCAAGCAGATTGTCTAGTTTCAATGAGGAAATGTCCAGGAAGTCCATTGCTGATCTTCAGGTTGCTGAAGAATTCAAGGCTGCTAAATTCACAAACATGGATATGAACAAAAGGAAGGTGTTAGTACAAAGCATAGTTACTGCGCTTAGATCCCGGCTGGAGTGCGAACCCAACTCTGTGCTTTATGCTTTTGAAAGTTATTCACCTTGTGACAATATGACCTATGATATTGAAAAAAAAACCAACGCGCAGCATGGTACCTCCTTTTTTCGGCTATTCCGCAGATGCTATTAAAGAAGAAGTTGAGCAGCTTTCTAATCAGCTAACAGGACGTATGTCAGAGGAGGTGAATCCAGAGTTCGACAAGGCCCAAAAAGTACACTATTTCCTTCCCGCGTTGCGAAAGCATATGAGATCTGGCTCTTTTCCCATTACTTACCGCAAAAATCTGATGGACCTACTAGCAAAGCTAGTTTCCATTCCGACTAGCACGGCAGAGGTAGAGAAAGAAATTTTCTATCTACTCTGTCATCAGAACACAACGCAGAAGTCGTACAACGATAGAGCATCTAAGCAAATACTTAAGATTTGTCAACCTCTACTAAACACATTGTTATCTAAAAACTTCATTTAAAGGATTGATATAAGTGGTCCAGACAGGCTGTTACCGTATGACTTTTTGAAATATCCTAAAAGAAGGTATGAAGAAACCGATCACCTACCTGCTGACTTCCTGGTGCTACCAGAGGGCCACGAAAAAAATCACAAAAGCGCTTAAAAGAAGAAGAAAGTTTCAAATCCATTTTCGACTCAGAACGCTTTTGCACGCAATTCTACTTCTACTCCGATGACCTTTTGGAGGAAGAAGAAGATTTTTCAGGCAGCGAACTTGTTGTCTCTGACGTTAGCGATAGTGATATTGTTGATGATGATGTGCAGGAAATGAAGTTGTTCCTAACTTGTACATCTTTTGGGATAAACATTATTGCTTTCGTTTTTTGTTGATGCATGAAACAGGAGCACAGATCTTCATAACCAATTTTTTTAAATTTTTTAATTTTTTTTGAAAAATTTTAATTTTTTTTTCAATTTGTGCCTAAATAAGGTACAAATTAGAGCTCTTCATACCACGCTTTTTTACCTTTTCTCTCTTCCTCCCCCCCCCCTAGACTCACATACCCCCTTCACCCTGGAAGGTCGGAAACAGCCGAGACCCCCTTCACCTGGGGAGAGCCCGGCTCCCCCTATCGCACCTATGTTCCCGCGCTTTTCTTTAAAGGCAGTGGGTCGGCAAATTGAGACCCGTGGCAAAATAAGGTCACAGGGTAGGAGCCCCCATAATGGAACCTGTAAGCCAAAGTTCGATCTTTCTCTGCCACTTCTAACCGAAATTTCAAGGCGAAAGCAGCGCTCATCTCCTCTTCTCTCCGACCTCGCCCACCCCACGGACGGATAAACGCGAAGCCCGTCATGGCGAAGACGCAGAGTCGTTGCGGGACCTCATGCTTATAGCATTGCGGCTGCGCGCTCTGACCGTGAAAGTCACTCGTCCATGGGGTGAGCGGGTTCGGAGAGGAGAGGAGATGAGCGCTGCTTTTGCTTTGAAATTTCGGGGGTTAGAAGTGGCAGAGAAAAATCGAACTTTGGCCCATACGTTCCATTATGGGGGCTCCTACCCTGTGACCTTGTTTTGCCACGGGTCTCATTCTGCCGACTCACTGCCTTTAAAGTCATTTTTCTTTCTCCGAAGTTAACGAAAACCTTCCAAAGTTGTACTGAACATCTAACACAACAGTGCTAAGCATGTTGCTGATGAGAAGAAATGAGTTTTTGAAAAATCGAATTCTTCGGTAGACACTAAATCTCGACCTGTGGATCATCGAAAATTCCATGACTTCAAAACATCATTTGTTCTTATCAGCAACATGCTTAGCACTGTTGGGTTAGATAATCTGCACAACTTTGGAAGTTTTTCGTTGAATTCGGAGAAAGAAAAATGACTTCAAAGAAAAGCGCCGGGGATCATCAGGGATCATGCAAAAGCTGGAAAATGCGGTTTCAGCTTCTCGCTCCTGTTCAACATGTTCATAGGGAGGGATAGTAAGAATACTTACGGATAGGTGCACAACGTGAAATCCAGATATCTGGAGTTGCAAAATATGAAGCTTTCTTTTAAGCTGCGATCCCCTCCCCGCGGCTATGTTAGTGCATGCGGCTCTTAGTTGCTAGCGTGGCATATTTGCTGGACGAGGGAGCGAAGGACAAAAATATAGAAGCCCCTACATGATTTCTCCGTCTCCCGCAAAGGCTTTTTCACCAAGCGCTATCGGGTTTGCATCAGAATTGTAGAAAAATCATCCATCTTACATATGGAGCTGAATGTTTGTTTGTATCTATGTATGCCTGTGTGTACGTATGTTCCGCATGGATAATCGTTCTGAACCGATCCTGGACCAGACTTTGCACAAATACACTGCGCGGGGAGGTTGCCGTAGGGATACTTTTGTTATCAATTGATATCGATTTTATTTTTTGCAACGGCGGGCTACGGGGCTTGGTGTTGGCAAGGGGGTAAGTGGGCATGCTGATTACGAATATATATTGACAGGGCTGGGCGGAGCCTTGCTAGCTATTTCACCATGATTTTAAACTTAGTATGAACAGCGCTCTTTTCTCCGCTCCACTCTTGTTCTTGCGATTGACATGATATCCTCTTGTACCATTCGAAGGAAGCTATCTGTGGAGGAAGGCAAAATAACAGACCAAAAATTTCCGTCATACAAAGAGCAAACTCAAGCAACTGAACTCGCTAATATTGATCTTCTAACCTCGTCTGAGTAGATTTAACGTATTAAACTCAGCAATTACTTCTCTACCAGCTCATACCACTGCATCAGTTCTCCGCTCACTGTTAAAAGAAAGTTCACAGCATATTGCCTCGATCCTGCCTGTGATGACCCTCTTTCTGGCATGAACATCCTAACAAACATCTTTCCTTAAAACGTTAGTATTGCTTTGCCAGTACGGCGTTTGCGTGAAGCTTTATTACTGTCAATGGCCTAACGTTTTGATTCCTCGTCTTCTTGAGAGGCTTTGCTTCACCGCCCGGTGCACTTTATGTTAATCGCATGAAATAACCTTTCATTTATGTGGTGCATTCAAAGTTTGAGTAGCTTAGACTATTATAGATCTACAAATGCAGCAATTTGTTTCAAACTTCAAAACCCTTGTAAGGATTGCGCTAGGTGTACGGTAAAAAAATTTACGGATCGTTCAGGCGTACTCCCCGCTAGAATTTAGTCTAGGGGGCTTTTCGACACTGATTACAAAAATCAAACTCATTTTGCAAAAACATGCATTTTTATTAAAGTCAGAAAAATTGCTGCAGTTTGACGACAAATGAAAATGATGCGGAATTCACCATGTAGAGTTACCCTATAGTACAAAACCTTGGCAGATTCTGCGATTTAGCTTAATAGTTACTGAGAAATGTCATTAACTTTCAGTTCACCTGGCTGGCCTACTTCCCAAGAGCACCAAATTTCGAACAGTCTCCAATACCATTACCTTTTTACAGAGCTCATAGAGCAATCTTTGCCAATAATTATACAATAGTTCTGGTTCGATGATTAGTTTATGCGAAAGGTTTCATCTTTGCTTTGATTCAATGCATTCTATAATTTACGTAATTTTAGAAAAAAACCTGAAATTTTTCCTATGATTTGTATATCAAAAATCAGATAATTTGTGCTCACTTGTAACATACAATGCAATCTACACTATGCAAAAGAGCGCGTTGTATTCATAGAGAGAAAAGTTACGAAGGAAGTTGCAAAACTTAGTCAAAGAGAGAAAAGTTACGAAGGAAGTTGCAAAACTTAGTTAACAGGCTAATATATATTCCCTGGAAAACCATTTTGATTGGGTATCCCTCCCTAGTCATGAAATCTCGGGTCCTATTAATATTAATGTAGGCAGCCATCCCATTAGTGAACTGCTGCAAATTATCGCCTTGGTTTACCTATTTTGCGATCGGTTAGTAGGCATCCACTATATTTACTGTCATGAATTTTAGAAGCCTCGGTCTTGTTTGGAAATCTCCAAAGAATTGAATTTATATACACCCGCCGGTGGCCTATTTGATACTCATGTCACTTGGGAAGACATAGAAAAGGATCTACAAAGAGAATTCCATACGTCTGCAAGTTTCGGCCCCAATAAATCTGCGATGAATATTGGAGAGGGCAGAGTGAGTCATGCTTCATCACAAGGGTCAAGCGTGGGGTGTGGCATGCCACACTGGGGGGGGGGGGGGGGTCGTATTGAGGAATCAGGGAGGGGGAGGGGGTCGCTATCAACGTCCGCTGTTCGCATAACATGATATTCGTTAACAATGTCAAAATACTAGCACACTGATGCTTGACCCATTATCGTATACGTACGTACAGTAAGCGTAATTAAAGATCTGTAAAGCTTAAGAGCATCGTTTTGTAATTAGCAAGTAAAATAATCCCCGTGGTCCAAGTTAAAGCGAATTCTGAGGTTTCCATTTACAGGACCACCTAAGTGAGATGGTCGTTTTCAAACATGTTACTTTGTTTCAAAGGTAAGTCGACTACCTTTTTGCGCTTGATACAAAGAACTACTATTTCTTTGCTCACGTTAGGAATCTTACTTCGAATGACCTCCAAATCAAGGAATTAAGAGCAATCCAAAATCTCGTTTGTTCCATTTTTCGTTTTCAAAATTCCAGGCTAGAGAGACCAATCAGGCTCAAATCACTCTAATGTAGATTACGAGGCTTAGGCTATCAAATATATATATACAGGGTGTCCCAAAAAAATGTATCGAACGTTTGCTCGTTAATATCTCCTTTTCCAAGAAGTCTTTTCCCTTGCTTCAGGTACCAGTCTGTAGAGCTGGCTTCAACTTAGATTTGCATTATAGAGCGAATCACCCATCTCTCTTCATTACTGTAGCATTACGGTAGAAACTTCAAAAAGGGTTTTAAGCAATGAAAGACCATATTTTGCCTCAGAAAAGAAACAAAACAGCCTGAAAACTTTTACACTAGGCTAATTAGAGTTGCTGATTATAACTGTAAAGTTCCCAGTTTATTATGATGCTTCATTGAGGAGTTATGCCAGGTAAGAAGCAGCGGCCATTTTTTCAATGTTCCTAAAAAGTGCGGTTACACCGTTGAGAAAACTTCGAATCTTGTGAATAGTTGAGTATTGAACTCAGCATCCATAAAAATCCCAATGCCCAAGTTTTTACATTTTTTTGAAAAATTGTGAAACGGCAGCTTTTTCCACATTGACACCATATGTTTCAAGTTTCTACCGTAATCCTACAGCAATGAAGAAAAATGGGTGATTCGTTTCATAATGCAAACCTAAGTTGAAGCCAGCTCTACAAAACGGTACCTGAAACAAGGCAAAAGACTTCTTGGGAAGCGAGATATTAACGATCAAACGTTCGATACATTTTTTTGGGACACCCTGTATATATATTCTTGTCGCCTTCTCTTGCGATTCACATAGTAGCGCAGACTTAGCGTGTTACCGTATCCCAATATTTTCGCAGTATTTTACCAGTATTTTGCATTTGCATAGGAAAGGAAAAACGATTATATCTTGCTCTTGAAGAAAAGTTTTCATGTGAAACTTCTGCTATGTAAAGGAGAAGGTTAAGCAGTAACAACGATATAAAAAACGCAGCTATCTGATCTGTTTGAAGGTAGGTTAATGGGGTGTGGCACCACCCTTGAGAAGCTGTGGCTGCTACAGCTTTTTAGGGGTGACACCACACTCCATTAACTATATCAAAAAAAACAATTTTAGCAAACAGTATTTATATGAGTCGATAGCCCAAATCTCGTAGATTTTACAAAAGTGATTTGAACCTGATTCGTCTTTTTTGTTTTGAGTAATATTTGATGAAAGACAGCCATCAAACGCGAAAATGGGAAAAACGATATTTTGGTTGGCTGTGGCTTCTAATTTCACAGTGTGGAGGTCTCCGAAGCGGGATTTCTGAGGTGGACAAAGAAATAGTAGCGCTTTGCCTTGAGTGCAAAAACGAATTGCTACTTCACCTTTAAAACAAAATCAATCATCTTAGAAAATGACCATTTCGCTTAGGTGACCTAGTATTTTAAAACTTCAGAAATCGTTTGTTTACAGGAGTTTATTAACATACTAATTATGGATATGTTGCCCGCCATGTTTGACGCGACCTTCAAGTAGTGCTATCTTAGGTATAGTGTTCAGGTTGAGACAGCAATTAGAGGGGGGTAGTATCCAGCGATCGTGTGCCACACCTCTTGCTTGACCCTGTTTATCACTCTGAAACAAATCAGACATTTCCAGGGATTCATGTCAAAAATCGTACTTATCGAGCCTGATTGGCAACATAAAGACAAATACTTGCCTAAACAATTTGTCGTCAAGGTTTGTAGAGTGATTTTAGCTTTGTCTACATTACCAACGAAAACTTCAGATTATTTCTTCCTTAGCAATGCTTCAAGTGTTTGGAGTATTGTCTAGTGACAGAAACGCACCAGACGCTTTTAAGGAGATGAAAAAACAGATCGAGTCCAATCAAAAGTTGGTAAGTTATGACCATTACTTTTAAGTCGTAGCTAACTGCACATGATAGCGTCGAAGTAAAGCAGGAACTTTTTGGCGGTGGGACGAATTACTAGCGATGTAGCGAGCACTAGAGCGCGAGTTTCATCTAAATAGACTCTGTAATTATCTTACAATCGCTTTATGATGTTTTGTTTGGTTGTTGTGCAGAAAATTCGTTTTTTATCAACTAGTATAAGCAATGATAACTTTTTAGGCTCACAACGTTGAGGTCAACGCTTACACCCACCTATTGGAACTTCCTGAAGAAAAAGTACCTATACCAAAGGTAAACTCTATGAGCATTTCAAAAAAATTTCGTAAAACTATAAAAGAAAATTTTAAATACGCTTATCATATCTTTTCTTCAACGCAGAAACGGTTGGTTTTCTTTCTTACCTGCAGATTATCTCTGGACCAGGAGTTATGAAACGTTACTGAAGCGAAGCACATGTATGCACATCAGGATTCAGTCATTGAAATTGTTTTAGTTTGAGTGAAACAGCGGCGAGTGATGGTATATACGAGCTAAGAGTGTGCTATTGCAAAGAGTGCCCAATGCTGCTCTGTAAAGACTCATTTCAGCTAATTTATCTCATGTCACGCCTCAACTTTCTAGTAACAAGAGCTCTTACCTCATCACTCAAAGTACCACAAACCGGAGAGGAGGGTTGAAATTTGCATGTAATGCCCCCATGAGAGTCACTTATATAAAGCACATAGAGCATCTAACCATCTTCGCACTGTCATGAAATTGCAAAGGCAGATACGTCGTGCAGTAGTTTTATAAGCTCTACAAACCCACGATCACATAAACTTTCCTTTCACCAGATACTTGGCGATGCTCTAACTCACCAAAGCTTTATACTGTAGCATCGTTTGAGCATCTTAATTCAGAAATACTTGCGTCGCACATAGCGTTCTGAAAACAGTCACAGCAGTTTGTATCTACTTGCTGCCTCCACAAAAACTATTGTTTAGATTTACTATATGGAGAAGTTTTCGGAGTCAAATCCAGTCAAGGGTTATATAATAATGGATTTCATTGATGATCTCCAGTTAGTACATGTTTATGATAACATACCTCCGAAAGCTACAATAAAGGTACATGATAGCAGCATTATTGTAAAGATGTTGGATTATGCATGCATTCAGATACTCCGCGCTTTAGCAGCAATGCAAGCAATGTCTATGAAGTTTTCAGCGGAAGAGAAAAGAAAGTTTTTACCTTTGCCTTTCGCGAATCTCTTTGACGAGTTATTCGGTAAAGAGGTAATAAACAATCATGCCAGAATACCTCTTAGGAAATGAAAACTTATAGAAACAGCACAGCGTTGTTGCCACATGCCACTCCTTTGCGCCGGCGCTCTCTGAAAAAATCGACAAAATGGAAGAAATTTTACCTGCAATTCTGGATGCAGAATGGCTCGATCAAATACCGGAGAAGTTGAGTGAGTCGATCAAACTAAAGTCAATTATATCCAGGCTTTGTGCGAAACACAGCTTTCAAAGATGAAACGCTGTTCAAGAAGTGCGAGATTATTTAATGAAGGTCAATGTAGTAAAATTATGGTAAAGCCTCGTTTATTTTTCCAAGTAATTGCAATGGTTAAATCCAGGTACTTCTTCTTCAAGCTAGGCTTCATCTAATTGCCTGAGACGGGAGTGAGGAAAATATTTAAAAGTTGCATAGCACACCTACACACTCAGCAGGCAAAGGTAATTCTAACAAGGGAAGGACTCACTGTCGAAGTGGGGTTCCCACACGTGATGCATATCGTTGTGCAGGTCTTGGGGCACTGATACCAAATCCGTGTTCTTTAGCTGCTCAATGATCTTCTGGGAAAAGTTACGAGTGATGGTTTCCCTAGGATGACCACGGATTGCTTGAGGTAGCGGCGCCGAGGAATGTCAGTTGTGGATGGATAGGAGTGGATAAGTGTGGAACAATGGATGAAGTGGTAGAAAGTTCGGAATACTTATGTTCCAAATATTCCTCCATTTTGTAGATTGTATTGATTGATATGTATCCCTAGAGGGCTCTGGCACCCATTGAATAACTTGCAAAAATGCGAGAATGTTTGGAACATAAGTATTTCGAACGATTTGCCACTTCCTCTGTAGTCATCACAACTATCCATTCGGCCATCACAAGGAGTGGACGGACGGCCGAGTCGATAGCTGCGGCGACTATAGAGGAAGTGGTAAACCGTTAAGAATACTTATGCTCCGAACATTCTTGCTTTTTGCAAATTATTTAACGAGTGCCGGAGCCCTCCAAGTATACATATTAAACAATACAGTCTACAAAATGGAGGAATTGGAACATAGGTATTCTGAACTTTCTACCACTTCATCCATAGTCTCTACAGTTATCCACTCCCATCCATCCACAACTGACATTCCTCGGCGCCGCTAACTTAAGCGATCCGTGGTCATCCTGGGCAAACCATCGCTCGTAACTTACCCCAAAAAATCATTGAGCAGCTAAGGAACACAGATTTGTTATTAGTGCCCCAAGACCAGCACAATGATATGCATCACGTGTGGGAACTCCACTTCGACTGAGGGTCCTTCCCCTGGGAATTAGCCCATTTGCTTTTGAAGGAAAGACGCCTGGGCCCGTAGTAATCCCCCCGCCGTGATGGTACGTACGTCCGAAACATCGCACGTACCCAGCACGTGTCGTTCCGGCCGCGACTCGTCCGGTGGTTATCTTTTATCACGGCCGTGCAGCGAAATCGCTGGACGTCGTGACTGCAGGACGTGCTCGTCCTCGTGCGCAGAGGACGAGCACGTCCTGCAATTTAGAAAAGGTGAGTTTATTTCGAATTATATTAGATTATATTAGGTTATATTAGATTCCTATTTAGTCGTATTTTGTTTAGCATAAGTTATTTTTTCTCTAGTCTTACAGTGCAACCCATTTGAACGCCGATTGTTTCTAACTGATGAAAATCCCTGGTCTCTTCCGTCCTAAAAGTTTTTATTACATAGTTCCACTGATTTGCTGTTCATTAGCCATGCACCAAATGTTACCTGATTTTTGAGAAAGAGAACCGTCTGGCATCATGGCTAATAGAATAGCACATATTTGCGCAAAATCAAAATCAGGAAATAATTAAAGTTAGTTTTTTGTACATTCTTAATATTTTGAGTTTCACGTGGTCATTTTTCCATTACTGGCGAAGAACTTACAATAATAATTTTTGTTCAAAGACAAAAAAAAACTTATGCATCACGTATCTTGGTTGAGCATAGCGGTATCCGATACTGGCGCTGCGCTATCCGCGTTACATGATGGTACCCCATCAGTATGCTCCTTGATTGTGAACGGGGAAGTGCACATATTTACAACGTTTACAACCTACAAGAAAGTTAAATCAAATATTAGGTTGTGTAATAAGTTCGTTCGCATTTTTTGTTTTAATTTCTCCTCAATATTTTGCAAAACATTTGGCAAAATGTTTGTATGCGTTTGGAAGCTTTAAGTCTGCTCTATCAAACTTCTGTTATTATATTTTCAACTAGCTGGCATACCCGGCTCCGCCGTATGTTCCGAATAGAAAATTTCATTTCTTAACCGATCCGAACCAAACTTGGCACACATACACTTCGGGCCCCGGCGGGTGTCACAGTCCACTTTTCGTTATCGATTGATGTCGATTTTATCGATTTTTTGCAAAATTTGAGCTAGGGAACTGGAATTTGGCAGGGGGGTGTAATCGAGCATGCTGATCACCCCCACGGGGATGATCAGCATGCTCTATTACCCCCCTGTGCCAACTCCCAGCCCCGTAGCTCAAATTTTGCAAAAAATCGATAAAATCGATAAAAGTAATGCACGATTTTAAAAACTAATGTTGTATTCGTAATCAGCATGCTCGTTTACCCCTCTGTGCCAAATCCCAGCCCCCTAGCTCAAATTTTGCAAAAAATCGATATCGATTGATGACGAAAAGTAGCCTATGACACCCGCCGGGGCCCGTAGTGTATGTGTGCCAAGTTTGGTCCGGATCGTTCAAAAATGGAATTTTCTATTCGGAACATACGTACAGACAGACAGACAGACATACAGACATACAGACAGACAGATAAACAGACATTCAGCTTTATATACAGGGTGTCCCAAAAAAATGTGCCTACTGTTTGATTGTTAATAACTCTCTTGTAATAAAGCCTTTCGAGAAGCTTTAGGTACCTTTTTGTAGAGCGAGGTCAAACTTAGATTTACAGCATAAAGCGAATCATCGATCGCTTTTCTTTACTGTAGGATTACGGTAAGAACTTTCAGCATATGGAGCCAATGTGAAATATACCACCTAATAAAATTTTTTTCAAAAAATCTCAAAAATCGTGTATCAGGGTTTTTGCGCATGCTGATTCCACCTAACAACTTTTTATGGGTGTTTTCAGCTTTTCTGACGGTGTAATTACATTTCTGACAAATGCTGGGAATTGAGTTATCACGATTTACCGAAAATAACTTTGGAAAGAAGCATCACAGTAAAATGAAAATTTCAAATTCGGAATCAGCGGCTCTTATTACCGTAGTATAAGAGTTTTGGCTTGTTTGGTCTTGTTCCGAGGCAGAATATAGCCTCCAATGGCCTAAAATCCTTGTCGAAGTTCGTACCGTAATCCTACAGTAATGAAGAGAGATAAATGATCCGCTCCATACTGTAAATCTAAGTTTAACCTCGCTCTACAAAACGGTACCTAAAGCTTCTCGAAACACTTCGTTACAAGAGAGTTATTTTGAACCAAACAGTAGGCACATTTTTTTGGGACACCCTGTATAAGATGATTTCAAAGTTGAACAAAAATATGACTACAAACCGAAAAATCTGAAATGACAAAAATTAGATTTTCGACATCTTTTCCTCTCTTGGTTTTCCTGTCATTCATTGTTGAACTTAATTCCAAAAGCTTGACAACGAAGAAAAACAACTGACCAATTATTTATGCACTTACTGAAACTGTTTACGATTGCCCACTTCCTTTCACCGACCGTTTAATGCAATTTTTGCAAAAGTCGGGGCGTAGCGAGGCTTTGCCGCGACGGTATTCGTTGTCTCGCGTACGTGGGCTCTGTGTTCCCCGAATTCTGAATTTCTGACTATATAATCCATTTATTCGATGATTTAGCGATCAGAGACCACAATGTCTTCCAATTTCTGAATGGTTCGGCTACCACCCTTCCTCAAAGGTGTTTTTAGATGCTCAATGTCGACGCCAAAGAGGCATAAAAAACATAACTATTTTTGAGCTTACAATATGAATTTTTGGAAGGGTTTTAGCACCTACAAGTAATCTGCGGGAGCTACGGTATTCTAATTTTACATGTCGCAAAATTTCTGAGCTGTTTCTTAAGCGCTCAATCCCATTCGAGACTCAGCATAACATAGTTGTCGAAAATGAGTTTTTCGCCATTTCAGATTCTTCGGTTTGTAATCAAATTTTTTATTCAACTTTTCAGAAACTGGGAATATAATGACAGTATTTTGGTAAAGCAGACTTACGGCTTCCGAATGCATACTAATCCTTTGCCGAATGCTTTGTAAAATGTTGAGAAAAGTTGAAATAAAAAATGCGAACGAACTTATTACACAACCTAATAGAAGCGTGCTTATCGATTTATGCGGGAGACCTCGCAAGCTACTGTTTTGTCTGCCGCATTTTGTTTCCTTTGCTTCAACTTCGATTCCTAGAAGTGTGTCTGTGCGCCGCCGACGATCACCAGGGGGTTGCGCGTGTGCGCAAAAAACTTATGCATCACTATCTTGGTTGCGGCGACCAAGGCATGGTCGTGAGCAGCATGTACTTCAGTTGAACAAAAACTCGCTTTCTTTACATTACGACGTATCTCGGGGGTTTACTACGGGCCCAAGAGTTTCCAAATAGGTCCCTTTCTTGAAGGAAGCAAGATTAGAAGTAGTGTGATTGACTCTTTTATGCTTGGGAAAGTGATGGTTTGGGATTGAAGCAGTGAATGTTTCTATAATTTGTATCGCAGCGGCACCTCGGTATAAAACTCGTGGTTGACTTCTTTACTGAGAACAAATGTTTACAATGGAGTGAGCGTGCGAAATTATTTATTTATTTATTGAATGAGCAAGAAGCGTGCCACATGATCACAATCAATGAAAACTCGAGATATAATCAGTAGTAAAGAATACAGCAAAAAACATCCGCTAATTCAGCTTAAGTCCAGCCCTGAATAGTTTTGAAGTAGAGAAAGGGAACAAGCTTGTTTAGACCATGTACGGAATCATGTGTATAAGGTGTACGAGCCAAAAGACTCAATCTCAAATCGGAATAATTTGACGTTCTGCCTTCAGTAGTGTTGCCAGCGGTATAAAGAGCTGCAAAGTTTCGCACTTTTTGGGACTACGCTCCGCATTTCAGCCAACTGTCTCAACTAGCTGTATAATTACACCTTTGCGTCACTTTTGGCAAAGCTTTGAAGAATTTATTATCAACGTGCAGACCGTCTTCTTGCTACTATCTCCCGGAGACTCGCAGAAAACGCGCTAACCAGAATCTTTCCATTCTGGAGATCATGTTCAAATATTCTTAGCTTACGATTGGACTTCTCGTTGCGAACTACCTTTTCCACATCTTTGTGGAAAGTACACGGTTTTAATCATCAGTCGCTGGTGCTGGAGCGTTGAAATTGATGATGCTGATGGCCTTCGATGTCGACGGCGCAGCCCTACGACAACCAATTGAGGTGCTAGGATGTCAAAGAAATTTACAAAATAGACGATATACAACACTAATAGGAGTTTTTCACCATTGTAAGGATGCTAACACTAGGGTGCCCAAGAACAGCGAACTTGACGGACGACTTGGGCCGGCTTCCATGATTTTGCGCGGGGACCCGTCACGAGTGCAGTGGATCCCCTCGCAATAGCATGTATCTTCGCCGTCATAGGTAGCGAGATCTACTCAGGCATTCGCGCCGTGCGAGCGGTCCTCCCACAAGGGCTAGCGTACAGGCCGTCGGCAAAAGTCTAAAGCTTCCACGGGTGCGGCAAACAGCTGAAACGCCGTCCAAGCGGCAGGCAATGTTGTCGTGCAAACGGTCCGCAATGCCTTTGCTCGGGCGAGCGGCCAGCAATGTGGCCTTCTTTTCGGCCGGCAGTACCCGTTCCCGTGCAAGCGGCCAACAGTGACTTCTACCTTCTTCTCACAATTTTCACACATTGTGAGCGGAAACCTGCTTGAGATAGTATGCAGCGTCTAGGCTGCTTTAAGCGATGACATCTGTTACCAACATTTTCCTTCACCAGCAAAGCTGATGAACCTGTGTGAGGTTATAGTTGTCAAGAGCGATGGTGTGGGCTTCCCTAAGAAAGGCTTGGCCAATGCTGCAGGCATGATCCACGTTCCCAGCATGTGAACAGAATCAACATATCCAAGAAAAATGGTCAAGATATCCCGGCGGTCAGCAAAAATTCAGGGCGGGCCAAACCTCCAGCGATCAGTACTTCCTTTGCTGTCGCATGTTCTGCCATCGGGCAGCAATACAGAATTTTCTGCGAGCGGTCGTTAAATAATTTCTTTCAGCGAGCGCTGGCCAAATTTTCCGTGAGCGCTGTAACTCTTGTTAGGCAGTTTCGGGCGTACGCCGAGCAAAGGTAACACTCTACATGGCAAAGGTCACCGGTGGTTCAATTGCCCGAGTTTGGGGTACTTTATCTCAGCGAAAGACACCCAAGGGCTATGCGGTCCTTCACAAAGCACCGTGCTGCTCTTAGTAACTCTGCATATTCTCTGGAAAGTCCGCGAGAATGCAGCCACTGCGGCGCAATTGATCTATGAAAGAGCCGCAATTGTTCACCGAGCATTGACTAAAATTTGGCCAAAATTCTTCCAAATATCTGCAAGCGGACCACAAAAAATCAGCGAACTATTTTTTCGGTGCCCGCCTGCCTCCGGCGATTATCTGAGCGCATCACCGGCCCTTGACGACCGTACAAACGCACACACCAACGAGCGTTTGTAAGGTCGTCGCTGGCCGCCCGCATGGCGCGAGTCCTTGAGTAAATTGGAGATAATCAGCCGCGAGGGCACTATTTGCGTTACTGCTAAGTTACAATTCCATAATCACTATTTACCTGCGACCGTAGTCTTGATTTGCTTGGATGCTTTCATCTACTGCGCCAAGTTACGACAATTCTGGTTAACACAACCTTTTACTTTTTTTCCTTGACGTTCTAAAAACACAAACTTCATGCTTTTATAGCAACTTTATTCTGGCAAACTTCAGAAATGCAACGTGTACTCTGCCACGGAGATATGTGGTCTGCAAATATGCTCTGGAAAAGAAATGGTGAAGAAAGAGTCGACATGGTTGCGCTGATCGATTTTCAGGTTCGTGATACGCATAAAATCCGAGACTTTTACACTAAGATAGTATAGTCTGATGAGCTTAGGTCTCAAAATGGAATCAAAAACAACATCAACAGCGTCCAACAAGTTTGCTACTCCAACTTTGGTCTTTTCTCGAGATCATTAATTGAAAGAGCGTCGAACGAGTCATAGCGTTTTTTAGTAATGAGGGGATTGGTTAATAGTCTAACGGGATTCCTTGCGAAGTAACCGCCACAAGCACACCTTCTGAAAGTTGAAATTTTAAGGGACACAAAACAAAAAGCATAATTCGTCAAGACTTTATTTTGAATGAAAATAGGCCTACTGCCATTGATCAGATCTTCGAGGCCACGTTGAGTTCAGCGTGACGGGTCAAAAATTTAGAAACAATTTTTACTTGGACAAGTTTTGAGGATAGGGTTTGAGAGAAACCTCATAAACACGCAGTTGGAGGCGACATCATCTGGAGTAGCCTTATCTACCCACAGATGCGAATCGGACTGCCAGCAAGTTAGCATGCTAAGGTATCAACGCTGTGCTGAAACAGATCTAAAGCAGCGCTGGACAGAGTAAATCGGACGAACAACTCTGAATGCAATTTGCCAACGGCAGCAATCTGATATTTTTTCACCTATAGATTTCAATGCTTTTTTTCTCACAAGGCTTTGACTAACATTGCTTTGGAAGACGGTTCAACATGCCAAAAGCTTTGTTTATATAACTATGGTCTCCTTTCAACTACCTGGTTAGAGATAGCCATTCAGACTGCGCATATGGGCTGTCCCGCATTCGATTTGGTGCGATTGTTTGGCACATGTCTCTGTGGCAGGTATAGACAGTTACATTGGGAGGAGCTATTAGAGGAATTTTACGCTTATTTGGTAGAAGAAGTTGCTTACGGGGAGATGCCCTACACCTTTGAACAGGTAGGTTCTGTCTGATTTAGAATTCCTCAAAAATTGCATAGTTTAGTTGAAAGAATCATATCGCCGATGCTTACCAATGGGATTATTTTTCGCGTTGTTTGCTATGTCCTTTTTCTTCGATGAGGTATTGAAGTGTAGTGAAGAAGACAAAAGGAGGAAGGTGATTATGTATTAACCCCAATACATACAACAAATTTTGACTGTTATAGCAAATCGATATTTTGATCGAAAAAATGGAATGTGCTTTGGATGACTTAATAGTTTATCACAAGCGCAACGTCAAGCTGAGGGAGCACAGCAACGTTATTTTCAAGAAAAGGAGGCAATAGTTCTGCTTCTCGATTCTTTCGTTTGGATTGGCTGATAAAGCATTACTCTTGTCTGTAAATAATGCTCATATCATACGTAATTAGAATTAGCACTGGCTGGCTTCGCTTATTATGTATAAGTTACGTTACGCGATTTTATCGCATCGTGTCCTTGGTTTAAATGGCTCATGTCATCTCCTTTATCCAATTCCACCTAAATTCTCAATCGCGAATTCAAATGTACAGGCTGTTTCAGTTGCAGTGTCGATCGCACCAGCAGCTGGGATTCCACGCAGCCGCCTCTCCTGGACAATGCGTCGCGTCTGCGACGCATCATCCGGCCATTTTGCGTGGTCCTAGTTGATGGCACCGACGCAAACATGAGTTTTCTTAGCCACTTCATTTCTCTCGTTCTTTCGCGCTCTTAAACCTCAGATAACCTCGTCATAATCATAAAGTCCCATGTTGATAACCAAAGCCACGGTTGCACAAAGGTCTCGCCGACAGTCACGCTTTAAGGTAGCTTTACGGATCGCAGGCGTGCTTCAAGAGCAGCAAGCATAGATAGGACGGATACAAAAGGATAGGAAGGGTCATTATTCAAAAAGGTTGCGGAGTGGACTGTGAATGAACATTAACATCATAAAACAAAAAGATGAGACACTGAGATCAAAAGTTTGCAGCAGAAGGTACTATTGAAATCTAAGCACATCAGACAAACATACAGCTCTTACTTCACTGCATGATGAGCAGAATAGGAGCTTCAATCCCTAAAAACATCAGCTAGGTCAAACGACTGTATAGTCGTCCTCCCCCCACTAGACTCCTAGTGGAGGAATTTGAATTTGAATCAGAGCACACCGGTTGCAGCGGAGCGCGCCACCTGCAGCCCTCACTTCAATCATAAACTCATTTTTTTGTGTTTTTCGGACGTTTCATTGTACTTTTTGAATGTTAACAGTTTTTTTTCAATCAAAATGGAAAACTTTGTTGCCTGTAAGCGAAATTTCATGCTGTTATGCTCGTTTCAATTCTGACTCCAGGTTGAGTTTGAAGAAACGACTATGTTTGGAAAGTATGCTAGTGAAATCCTTTTCGGTAAGTGTCCTGAAGTGCTGCTCCATAGGACTTCTTGTCCAAAAACTCTAACCTTACCTGAAAATGGCGCTGAAGAAATGAGCATGGAAGTACGAAACATTTGATCAACGACAAACTCGTCGATTGTGATTTGAAAGGGTGACTAAAACCAAAAAGAATCACCATGCAACGACGAGAAAACACAAAATAGTACTCCATGAGCTTGAAATGAATGTAACTGTGCCGCGCTCTGCCGCGATCGGCATGTTCTAGTTCAAATTCAAACTCGTTCACTGGGTGTCTAGTGGGGGGAGGACGACTATAGCGCTAACAATCACTATGAACCGCGAGGCGGCTGCGCAAGACCCGAGCCGCCGGTGCACCTGAAATTGCAGTTGAGATAGCTGTAAGCGTATCGCCCCGATAGACCTTGCAACTAAAAGAGTGTACGCTATGTTACAGTATCATGATATTCTTACCCTTAGACAATCGCAAATCCTAAAAACATCAGCTAGTCATAGAAGAACTTCTAAAACTTCCGGGACGGACGCTCCTATTGGGCCACATGGGTGGGCCCCGCCCTATCTGGCTACTGAATCAAAAGGGGATATATATGGGGGTATATATGTACATTTTTTTTCTTGAAGTAATCATGGCAGCTAATAGTAGGTTATGGACAGTTTCTATATGGAGATAAGTAAAAATCACACAAACTGAAGTCTTCTGATGCAAGCGGGACTGCATTTTCTTACTTTTGAAAGGCGATGCGACGCGTTCACTCAACACCAAGTTTATAGCGCCGTTTTATTTTAAAGAGGAGAATTTTGCTTTTACGGCAATGTCCTCTGACAGTGCTTTACAAAACCTAAGTTCTTAACTATTCATTTAGTAATCGGATTATTTCTAGGGATTCGCAGTGGGATCATTCTTTGCATAGCACATGTTGACGCATCAATTACAAGATAAGCTGCTGAAGTCTGTATGCGCAGGAACCCAGTCTTGTAGGAGTAGCACACTGAGATGCCTCTGTTTTTGTGCAGAAATGATTTTACTGATTTCGTTATGAACAATTATTGAACGACGAATAAGACGTACATACTTCTCGGCTACCCTGTAAACCCTCTGAGGTGCGATTATAGTACCTTGCCACTAAAGCAAAGAAGTTGTACCCGAACTACCTACAGATCATATCCGTCTGTTGCTACAAGAAATTGTGAAGGACGGTTTTGGCTTTAGTCAAAATACCCAGAATTTGAAATGAGCTAACCGAGAGGTCGCAAATGTGCCGAGTGACTGTTCCAAAATAACCGCGTTGATAGGCTATACAGTAATCACCAGGGTCAAGCAAGGGGTGTGGCACACGATCGCTGGATACGACCCCCCCCCCCCCCTGATTGCTGTCTTAATAAGACCCCCTCCCCTGAACTATATACCTAAGATAGCATTACCAGACTTAAGAAAGAGGTCAGGCACAAGTCTTGCGAAAACAACCCCCCCCCTCCCATGAAAGCCCTCAAACGACCACTTTTTCCTCCTCTTAACCTCTGGACCTCAAAGTGTGACATTCTGGAGGACACCAGCTTTTTCTAGAGAGTTTTCAGATCTCTGAGAGCTGTCACTTTACAATCACACGTAATTTGACGGCTGATTCTGATCTGAATGGGCATATTGAAAGGGCCATAATTTTCTTATGGGTGGGGCGTTCCGCTCCAAAATTCCAGTGTAGCAAGAAGAAGCTATGTGCTCAATACTCATACCAGCAATGGAGCGTTTTCTGGATTTTGAAGGCAAGTTAAGGGGGTGCGGCACACCCCCTCAAAAGCTGCGGCAGCCGCAGCTTTTAAGGGGGTGTGCCGCACCCCATTAACTATATCAAAAAAACATTTTTAGCGGACAGTATTTATATGAATCGATAGCCTACACCTTGTAAATTCCATAGAACTGTTTGGAGCCTGATTCGTCTTCTTAGCTCTCAGTAATATTTGGTGAAAGTACAGCGATCAGAAGCGAAAAATGGGAAAAATGAGATTTTGGTTGGCTTCTAATTCCACAGTTTGCAGGTCTTCTGAAGCGGGATTCCTGAAGTGGACAAAGAAGGAGTAGTGCTTTGTCTTGAGTGCAAAAACGGATAGCTAGTTCACCTTTGAAACAAAGTTAACCATGTTGGAATTTGACCATTTCATTTAGGTAGCCTAGTATCTTGAATCTTCAGAATTCGCTCACACTTTGTCTACAGGGGTTAATTGACATGCCAATTATGGATACGATACGAATATCATGTTATCACTATTATCAGATTATCCAACTACGACCCCCTCCCTTTTGACTCCTTAATACGACCCCCCAGGTGTGGCGTGCCGCACCCCACGCTTGACCCTGGTAATCACTAAGCAGGACTCTCCCTAACCCTTTTTCAGAGCAAGTTTTTTTGCTCCAAAAAAGAATACACCTTTGAGAGTTAACGTTCATTTGCTTAGGAATCGCTTATACGCGTGCGCAGGTGAGCATTTCCTTGAAAATTGTCTTCGAGATCAAATTCAGCATAAATGCAATACAACTTATCTTTCTGCTTGTATAATAGAGATTTGGAGATGTTTGAAAATTTTGTATGAAGTGATTTGGAGACTCAATCATTGGCCTGTTCAGGTAAGTGAAGGCGACTATAAAACGATTTTGGCTAACGACTATAAAGCCCAAGGATTTTTGAGCATTGAAGAGTTTACGTTCTCCCTTGCTGGGAATTTGACAATTTTTTTGACAATTTGCTTTGGCACATGGCTTTTCTTTAGATTATAATCAAACTCTAGAACGAATCTTTTAAAAGTATATTTTTTTCTAATTGATTTTCTGTTTCTTGAAAAGTTGCTAATAATGATATTTTTTATTCGTCCACGCGAACCCTGCATACAGGGTACCCCAAAAATACGCATGCACATCTGCTCTTTTATATCTCTTTCCGCCTAGTCTTAACCTACCTTTAGGTACCAACCTGTAGAGCTAGCTTCAGCGATTTCCAGTGTGAATCAATTAGCCGGGCCCTTTCATTGTAAGACTGCGGTAGGAACTTCCAGCTAGTCACTATTGTGAAAAGGGTTGAAGAACATTGTTACAGTATACCAAGCATAACCTAAAAAAACATCGCGGGGCAGTGCGAATGCCATATCTGAAGTCAGCAACTCTGATCAACTTAGAGTTTTTACAGTCAAGTAGATTTTCTGCTTAATATAGTGTTCCTGCAGACGCGACAACGCTGAGGCGTCAATAATTGCCTTGCGAGTTTCCGAACGAATGTTTTCCGCTGTTTTCTTTGCTTATCTTTTGCTTTTCAGGTATTTCTTGGCTGATAAAGAGGAAAAGGGTAGGTTAGATAGTAGTTTCTGTTTTCTGAGAAGTTTCATCATATTGCATATTCACAGAAATTTACGTAGAAGCAGTTCGCGTCAGTTTTACGCCTAGTTTTTGGGTCATTTCTTTTTTTTGTCAATTCAACCCTCTTTCTTCTTGTGAGACGTTTCTTTGAACGCTAGTTGGCTTGCCTTGTAACAACTTCGGCTTTCACCCATAAGAAATATCATTAGAGCAAGAACCTCATGTGATAAAGACAATAAGTCAATCGTAAAAACCTACTAGCCAAGAAAGTACTTCACAAGAAGAAAGAGACATGAAGTGACAAGAATTCGCGAAAATGATGCGGTCAGCTTCCACATGGATATCTGAGGTTAGGCGATGAATTAGCTACTCAGAAAAGAGACTTTATCCTCTAACTTACCCTCTTCTTCTTTACCAGTGACGATTTACCTAAAAAGAATGAGAATAAGATAAGAAAACACTAAAAAACATTCACTCGGGAACTCGCAAGGCAATTATTGACGCCCCAGCGTTGTCGCGTCTGCAGGGACACTATATTAAGCAGGAACTACTCAACTGTACATCGCTTGGCTTTCTATCTGAGTCAAAATATGTCCTCAGTGACTCAAAACAACTCTCTTCATGTCTC